TTCAAGTAGAAGAAAACAAATTAACATTAAAAACAACAACCGTGGCCAATGTTGTGGTATAGTGGATTGGGCTGCCATCTGCAACACCAGCATCCCACATCAGGATGCCAGTTGGATCCCATTACTCTGCTTCGGATCCAGCCTCCTGCTAACGCACCTGGGAAAGCAGCAGATGGCCCGTGTGCTGGCCCCTGCCACCCACGCGGGAGACCCAGAAGGAGCTCCAGCTTGCTGGTTTCAACCTAGCCCAGCCCTAGCTGCTGCAGTCATTTGAACAGCAAACCAGCAAACAAACAGATCTGTCTGTCTGTCTCGCATTCTTTCTCATTCTCTCCCTCTACCCCACTCTGTTCTTCTCTGTCACTCTGCCTTTCAAATAAATGAAGAAAGCTTTAAGAAAAAAAGAAACAGTACTCGCTGAAAGTTCAGAAGGGGTTTTCAAGGTCCAGTCCTGCGCCATGTGACTCAGCAGAAGCCTGAGTGGTGTGAGCCTAACCAGCCCGCACATCTGTGCAGCGCGCTCTCCAGCTGTTTACTGATGAGAAGGCGCATGTAAATGGGCGCATCCTCAAGTCTTCCCTTGCTTTCTGCCTCAAACACACATCGGGTCCCTGGTGACCAATCAGCCATCCAACCACCAAGAAAGCAAAAGCAAGAACATGCAAAAGTGACAAGATGGGAAGGGGCTGGGGGATGAGGACAGCCTCCCACGGCCGAACTCACTCTGTTCTGTCCTTCATGGACTCCTTGCTATGTGAGCGGCAGAAAACAAAACCACTGCTGTTTGACTCAAGCACTGGAGTTGCATTTCTGTTCCATGCAGCCACACGCAATAATAATGGATACGGAAGGAGGCCTAAAGAATCAATGCTAAAAGAGCAGGAATGTAAAACTCAAGTGCAAACAGGAGCCGGGCAGATCAAATCTAAGGAAATCTGCCCAAGTGTGTTTACGTAGGTGGCCACTTCGACAGCTGGCCACTTGCGAGGAGCCCCACTGGCAACTCCAGCCCGTGCCTCCTTGTGGGCATGCCAGCCCGGCAGTCCCATCGGCCACGATTTTAGGTTATAAAGAAAAGGCTCAAGTCTGAATGGCCAAGTTTATAACTGTTATTTCAGTTTTTAAAAGTTTAAAGTGTGTGCCTCAACCAAAACATGACTGTGAGCTACCTTGTGCGTGAAGGCTGCCAACTTCCAAGCATTCAGATTTTTTTTTAAGATTTATTTATTTTCATTGGAAAGTCAGATATACAGAGAAAAGGAGAGACACAGAGGAAGATCTTCTGTCTGATGATTCACTCCACAAGTGACCACAATGGCCAGAGCTGCACTGATCTGAAGCCAGGAGCCCAAAGCCTCTTCTGGGTCTCCCATGTGGGTGCAGGGTCCCAAAGCATTGGGCCGTCCTTGACTGCTTTCCCAGGCCTGAAGCAGGGTGTTGGATGGAAAGTAAGGCCACAGTGACACAAGTCGTCGCCCATACATATGGGATCCCAGCGTGTGTAAGGTGAGGATTTTAGCCACTAGGACCCACCATTCAGGTTTTGTGATGAGTTCTCTCCCTCTCATCTTTTTTCTCTTCCTAAAGCATCCCAGCAAGTGTTACCAACGTGGAAACAGGCTTGCAGAGAAGAAGCAACCTGCTTAGTTCACAGAGCTGATGCATGGCGCCCTCTGCCCTGCAGCCCAGGGCACCCTACGACTCAGTCTGTGCTTTGGTCCCTCTTCCTAAGGAATGCCCACTGCAACCAGGAAGCCCAGACATCTGCTCCGGGTCACTACCAGCCACGGGACAAAGGAGTGGCACCCAAGTTGACTTCCAAACCAGCTCAAAAACACACTCCTGCCTACCTACTCTTTCTTTCCTGCCACTTAACACACCACAGCAAAGCACTGTCCAGGTACCTGCGCACTCACTAAATCGCTGAGTGAATGAATGTTCGCATGGAGCTTGTTCTTTTAGGAAAGAGCTTTGAACAAGTGTGTATCTCACTTCCCTCCCACATCAACCCAGCCTGTCAACTGGCGGGTAACGGACCCACAGCGTTACCACCATGATTGTTTCAAAGACACCAGCAGTGAGCAGAGCCCGTTCTCACAGCCCAGCGTTCCCGCGCCGAGCCCTGGGCTCCTTCTGCTTCCCTCAGCCCCCAACGCCTCCGCCTCACTTTACACTGAGAATCATTTGCTTCAACTAATTCCTTCACGCTGCAGGAACCCCAGGCTGTCTGACAGCGCCCAGGTGCCGCAGTGACGTTTTCATGAATATCTTCATCCTCGAGTTTAGCCAGCGAGAGGACAAAAATAAATGCATCATGTAATATGCTCAGCAGTGGAATGTAAATGGGCACACACACAAGTCCCGGGATCTAAATTTAGAAAGAAACAGCCAGAAAGTCCCACACAGCACAGTGAGCATCTGGCCCGCACTGCTTTAAACCTCATTTAACCCAGGAAGAATAAAGGGACTTGGAATCCTGGCTGGCATGTGGCTCTCAGAGGTACCGGCTGGGTAAGGACCAGCAGGATTTTCATCATGTTCTCACTGAGAAACGCTAAAGCCCAGAGCAGGAGAAGGGCCCACGCCTCTACGTAACGCCCGCTCACTACAGCAGCTGTTCCTCAAAAGCTAACACACCCAAAAGGCTCACCCCACCCCCTCCGAGCCCATGGAGTTCTCAAAGCACTGACCTTCCCAGGAGCTGCGAGACAGGCACAGCAGGTGAACAGCAGTGTCCACTGACCCCGGCCTCAGCACTGACTTGCAACGGGGCTCACGCAGGCTTCAAGGCCAGCTTGGGTCATTCCTGCGATCCTGGCCCACCACAGCCTCCTCACCCCACCAACCCAAGGCAGCTATAACCTCCTTCACAATCAGACAAACTCAGCAGCAGCCTTCCAGGTTGCCAGTGTTCTCGACTGTAAGGTGCACTGGGCAGGGGCTTTCGTCTCCTGTAATCACTAAAATACGCTAACCTCTGGCAAGGGTGCCTGGCGTACCACAAGCTTCAGTAACCACCTGTTGAATACATCTTCAAATGACGTCATCCTGTGACGGCTCCTCCGACCCCTAAGGGATGAAATGGCCAGAGGACAAGAATAGGTTCCCACCAACCCAGTCCCAGGCTTCCTCATTTTCCCTTTATAGACATGCCTGACTGCTATTCAAGTCCCTAGAGATCTAGGGTGGGGTCTGGTATGTCTGCCTTCACCATCCTCCTCCTTTACACCACCAGCCCCTTTCACTGGGTGCCCCCAGGGTTTTGCTTTCTGCCTATTCACCACCCTGTTCCCTAACCCTAACTCAGCACCCAGTGCCTAATGTTCCCTCACTCCTTGGCAACAGCAACCTGTACCAGGCACTGCAACAGACAAGGGTTCAAGTCCTGCCTACCAAAAGCACACATCTTAAGAGGCAGCCAGCCATGTAAACAATGAGAAGACAATACAGCAAGCACCATAACGGAGGCGCCATGGCCAAAGTCACACATTGCCAACCACCAGGCCCAATTCGGCCCATTCAATGATTTAACTTGCTGACTTCCAAAGCCTTGTTGCCAACTTCTACCGAAAAATCCGATGATCTGCCTAGATCAGACAATGAACCTGTGTGCCTGTAACATCAGCCAGCATCATGTGGCTTCCAGTGCCCAGTGCCCAGCACTGACCCTCCTTTCAGAATCTTCCAGGCCACAGCTGGTGGGCTTGTGCACCTGCCACCTGTACCCCACTTCCACAGTGAGTGGAAAAGTGAAAGACACAGCAACAAGGTGATGGGAGAACTTCAGCGGAAGTGAACTCCCTTTCCAGGAAAGTGAAGAATTGTCCTAGACATTTGATATGTAGAGAAACTGTGCTGGAGTCACCCGCCCAGCACAACTTGCTCATGCACCTGCCTGGCCATGCACCTGGCTAAGGTTCTCACTGTGTATATTTTTAGCATTCTATACCTAGTACAGGCCAAGAAGCCAGGTAACTCAGGTTTCCTGTTGTCTGGGATCTCACTGTCTAGTGGGAAAACATATGTAAAAAGACAATTAGAGGCACAGTAACCTAGCAGCTAAAGTCCTCACCTTGGATACACAAGCATCTGATATGAGCACTGGTTCTAATCCCAGCCACCCCACTTCCCTTCCAGCTCCCTGCATCTGGCCTGGGAAAGCAGTCAAGAACAGCCCAAAGCCTTAGGACCCTGCACCCGTGTGGGAGACCCGGAGGAGTCTCCTGGCTCCTGGTTTCAGATCGGCGCAACTCCGGCTCTTATGGGAGCTAACCATCTCGGGGAGTGAACCATCAGACGGAAGATCTTCCTATCTGTCTCTGCTCCTCTCTAGAATAGAATGGGTTATGTTCTCTAGTAAGTACCATGAGAACTGACTTCTCCTGAGTCAGCCAGGAGAAGCGAAGGCAGGGCTACATCAGGGAAGGACTCTTGAAAAGCAGAGATTTCTTCTTCTCAACTGGACGGAGGTTGAACTGCCACAAACAGTGCCCTGGAATGAAAAAGCACTGCTCGCCAGGACTTCCCCGACCTCCTCAAAGAACACAGAGAGTTGCCCATAATTTCTGGCTGCTCGAAGGAGTTTCAAGGCTGGCAATGCCAGGAGATAACCCTCTTCCTTTCTGAAAACTGCAAACAGCGTCGGTGGCCACTGAGAGCAAAGGTCCAGCCCTACATCATCAGGATGCTGCCCTGGCACTTACCCAGGAAATTTAAAAAACTGAATTTCTGCTGAATTCTAAAACATCCCAGTCCCCTGCTGATTCAGCTCCCAGAAAAAAAAAAAAATGGTCTTTCCCAAGCAGATGAAGAAACACAGAGAAACTAGCCTGCCATCCAAACAAAATCATTCCTTTTGTCACTTCCTGCAAAGGAAGGGCAATCCCAGATCCAGAGCAGAGGAAAAGCCAGCCATCGGAGAAGGAATTTGGAATTCCAAATCTTCATGCGCTAAGGAATCATTAACTGAAGAAGCGCTACCTCACTTCTGCCTCACCCACCTCTGCATTCGGAGCTGAGGAAAGATTCTTGTTGCCGAAGGGATCCTGAACCTGAGATGGCTCCAGCAGAGCTCGGCGCCCCATCTTCATCTTGGCCACCTGTAGGGACAGACGGAGGGCACTGCTGAACCTCAGTGACAGGCAGGTGAGCGTGGGTGGCACTTGGGACACCAGAAGGGAGGAGAGCAGGGGCACTCAGATCTATTCCTAGAAAACTTTCCAACCCTTCCAACAAAGTAACTGAAGTCAATCCTACTGGCCAGAAGAGGAAATTCGGAGGCGAACGGTCACACAGTTTTCTCTGACCATCACCAGGGGCTGCAACAGCCCAGTCACTTTCTCACCAAAAGGTAGTACAATCAGAAATTCTTCTAGACTGGACGAAGACTTCATGGCACAGATCGGAGAGGAGATGTGGGCAAAGGCTGCCGTGGCCCTCAGCAGGGTTTTAGCAGGGTCTAACTTCAGGACTGCTGCTTAGTGTGACAATCATCACGGCACAGGCTTTTGGAAACCATTCCGCAATTCCATGAGACGTGCATCCCACATTTGCTTTGACGCATGCGCTCACTGGGATTGTATTGGGGGAAATCTCCAAATTGCTGGGCATCACCTTTTGGAAGGCAGAGTCCTTCACAGCTCTGACTCACCAACCCAACCATGTGCAGGGGTGTTCCCAGGTCCTCCCAGGGATCAGGGTCTGTCACCCTAGCTGTGGTCTCCAGGGTCCAGGCTGTGTGGGGCCACCCAGGGTCATGCCACAAGGACACGGCTCTTTCTCTCAAGTTTTTCCCAGCACACACACGAACAAAACTAGTGGAAGCTGACATTCTTCTATTTATGCCTGTGTACTCCGTCTTTTAGAAACGGCACTAGCAGAAGCACTTCTCACTGCTGTTTAGCATGGGGATCATTTGATTCTGACAGGCAGGGACTGGGACTGACAGGGTGTCACAAACGCAGCAACAGAGGCCCAGGAGGTGACACAGTGGCAGACAAAGGAGCAAAGTCAGCCTCCGACTTCAAAAGCTGGGCTCGTCCCAAAACAGGTTGCCAAAGATCCTGCTTTCAGGTGTTCTAAGAGCCATTGCATCAGTAAGCAGGAGCCGCCAGGGAGCAGCCCAGGGCCTGCTGTGGCATTCAGACTGACCGTAGTCAACGGGTGGCAGTAACGATGGGAACCACCTTGCTGATAACTCTCACATCTTCCCTCCAGGTACATAATTCCACACCTGCCTTTCTCCATGTGTCACATGACATGTAGTGAGTGCAACGGTCTTGTCACCTGAACACCTGCCACCCTGATACCATGGATTCTAAGTGTATTTAAGTTCTTGTCGGGGTTTCCCCTCAACAAGACATAAAGCCACCTGAGTCAGGGGCTGTGGGATTCACTGCTCTATTCTTTGGTGCCTAGAATGTCTGCTACAAAGCAAGGGCTCTGTAAATACTTATTGGAAGAGGAACAGGGTAACTATTACACTGAAAGCCACAGGCCACGTGAGGTGGTTTTTCATCACCGGCTTTTTAGAATCTCTTCCTGTGGCGTTGAAGGTAGATCAGGTGCTAGAGCCGCTCGCCTCATCTCCTAACACATTGTGGTCGATGCCTTCCACTCTGCATACCAACAGCACTGTCCTGCCGTGTCCGCCATCCCTGGCAGAAGCAAACGAGCCAGAGCCCTCGCAGAACACCTAACCACTTCCCGTGCCACGTTGTGGATCTTGATAGTAAACTTGATGTCCTTAACAAGGACACCAAAGCCACACCCAGCTCCTGGGGACCTGCGGGCATTCCTTCCCAGCATCCCCAAACAGGATGGTTTTTAAGGAAAAGTCTCAGGAGGGATCCTGGGAAACAGGTTCCCGATTTATCCAAACGGGACGCCCCAGACCACCTCAGACCGGGCCGTTCTCCGAGAGCTTGGCCTTGGGGCTCCCCCTCCAAACATGGAAGGCGGGGGCAGGCCTTGTTTTCTACTTTTTGAGAAATTTTATATTAAACAAGCCCTCCGCCAGCGGCGGTCCCGGGGCGCGAGAGGCCGCCTCCTCTCCGGCCTCACCCCGCCAGCAGCCCGCCCGCTCAGGCCGCCAGAGCTGGGGCACCTCAGGGAAGCCGTGTCACTCCCCTCCACCCGCCCAGTCCTGGGCCCAGGGCTCCCGCAGCGGTCCTCACGGAGATGCCGGCGCCCCGGGGCCGCTCCTCATCGAAATCCAGCATATCCTCCATCGCGGCGGTCGCCTGGCGTCACTTCCTGGAAACCAAGCGGTCCAGACGCGTCCCTGACGACGGCTCCGCCCTCCCCAACCCTCCCAGCCATGCCAATACTTAAAGAGTCCGCAGCACAGTTTTGTGTTCTTTATGCACCCATAATACAGCCCACTTTGGCTGTCCCCGTGGTACAGTAAAAAAAAAAAAAGTGTCCTTAGGAACTGTCTGCATTGGTCGCTCCACTTAAATACAGTACCAGGCATCAGGGTAAGTGTCCTGAGCCTTCCCGATTGTGTAGCTCTTTGCAGATTCAAAGGGAAGAGGTAACTAGTGTGACAGTCTGTTTGGAAAGCAAAATGAGCTGAATAGTTCATTGACTGATGAGAACACAGTGCACAAGCGATCAGGTGTAATAAATGGTTTCTAATGAATCATAGAAGATACAATCTATGCAACCTCTTCCTTCAAGAAATTTACAAAGAGGCTGAACCAAAACACCAAACACCCGAGTCGACACAGGTGCAAACATGAGGCGTTCAATGAATCCCAGTGTCCCCACAAAGGGACAGCAGTGCCCCCACTCAGCAATCGAGGAGACTAAAGTGCCAAGGCTTGGCTGGAGGAATGCTCCCTAGCACTAAGGGACAGGCCAAGTGCTTTGCTGAGACCAGATCTTACTGGACTGTGTCCTCCCACACATCCTAGTGATGAACACAAAGGAGCCAGGAGGGTGCATCTCCTTTTTTTCTTTCTTTTTTTTTTTTTTTTAAGATGTATGTGTTTATTTGAAAGAGTAAGAAAGAGAGAGAATCTTCTGCTCACTGGTTCACTCCCCAAATGGCCAAACTGGATGGGGTGGGGCCAAGCAGAAACCAGGAGCCTGGAACACCATCCAGGTCTCCCACGGGGGTGGCAAAGGCCCAACCACTTGAGCCATCTTCCATTGCTTTCCCAAGTCTATTTCCAGGGACCTGGATAGGAAATGAAGCAGCTGGGACTCCAGCCCATGTCCTACAGGATACAGGTTCCACAGGCGTCGACTTAACTTGCTAAGTGCATTATCACACCAGTTCTGTGATTCTTTATGCAAGCTCCCCAAGCCCACACCACTGATGCCCTGGCCCGACAGGAGCTGGGCTCATGGCCCCAAAAGGGAACAATGTGCCCAAGACCATGCTAGGAATAAAGCCTCATGGCTCAGGAGTCAAAGCAACAAGTGGGGAGTAAGAGAAGGACCCCTAAAACAGAATTGCATTTCTTTTTCATTCCTTTTACAGCTTTGTTTTTTTAAAGAAAACCTTCCTTACTTCTGTTTGAAAGGCAGTTACAGAGAGAGACAGAGAGACAAAGAGAGAGCTTCCATCTGCAGGTTCATGCCTCGAATGGTCACAGTGGCTGTAGCTGGGCTGGTCTAAATCCACGAGTCAGGAACTTCTTCAGGGTCTCCTTCACGGGCGCAGGGTTCCAAGGACTTGAACCATCTTCTGCTGCTTTAGCGGTGAGATGGACTGGTAGTGGAGCAACTGGTGTTCCAACTGGCGCCCATATGGGATACTAGCACCGTAGGCAGAGACTTAGTGTGCTATGCCACAGCGCCAACCCCTTCAATAAATTATTGCACCCAACCATTCCTTCCACATGATTACTGGACCAAGTCACATACTTGCCATCAAATCTTGGCTCCTTAGTCTCCTCGATTGCTGAGTGGGGACACTACGGTCCTTTCGTGGGGACACTGTGATTCAATGAAATCCTCATGTTTGTGCCTGTGTCCACTCAGGTGTTTGATGTTTTGGTTCAGCCTCTTTGAGTGCTTCAGCACTCCCTGTGACAGCAAGAGCAGGTACCCTGGAGGCCAAAAATGTTGAATTCTCTCCCCACAGCTCTGCCACTAACCGCCTCCCTGCCGCCACCCGGGCAGCCCAGGCACAGCCCTCCCTCAAGCCTAGCAGGCTTCTTTTGTAACTACCTCTAGAGGTTGCCTCTAAGCGCCTTTGCTCATTAACTCTGCTTCTCAGAACATTCTGAAGAAACACCCACTGCCAAAAAGGCAAGATGGACGACCTAGAGGCTCCTGTGGACTTCTTGGTCTCATCTCTCAGGGCACCAGATGACGAAGAAGAGATGCAGCCGTCCTTAGGGGCCCACGAGGCTGTCAACACCTCTCCAAGTCCTCAGGGCTACTGTTGCGTCGACACCTGCTCACCCCGGACAGAGATAAGCCATTTTACGAAGCCCCTGGATCGCACTGCATGCCGAGACCACCGCTCTTGGGGGGTTAAAACTCAAATCACTATCCCTCTCCTTTTGCAAGACTTTGCTCAGAATTCTCTCCAAGGGCTTCCCTGGTCACCCTATTTTCATTTGCTACCTACATCCATCTAGCACCTGCCTTCCTGTTTTAATCTCTTGCCATCTCTTACAACTTTACCTTTACGATGCCATTTACACAAGAATTTCATGTATTATGGCCTTCCCCACCCCTGCAGGTGTCAGGGAGCCATCCATTGACTGTTGACTGAGGCACCCACAGAGCCTAGAATGGTACCTGATAGAGAGCAGTCATCACAATGACTTCCCAAATTTTGCAGGCAGGATAGCATAGCAGTCAGGTGCACAGATCAGAGCCCTGGACTTTCTAGCTGCCCATTCCAGCTCTGACACCTAATGGCTATTTTAGGCAAATTACTTTTAAGTTTTTGTTTCTTTTAAAAGATTTTATTTTTATTTGAAAGGCAGACTTAGAAGGAGACACACACACACACAAACAAAGTGAGAGATAGAGATCTTCCACCTGCTGGTTCATTCCCCAAATGGCCACAGTGTCAGAGGTGAGCTGACCCAAGCAAGAAACTAGAGCTTCTTCAGGGTCTCCCACGTGTCCCATGTAGGTCTTCCACATAGGCCCAAGCATTTGTATCATCTTTCACTGCTTTCCTTGTCCCTAAGCAGGGAGCTGGATTGGAAGTGGAGCAGCCAGGACTGGACCATTACCCATATGGGATGCCAGCGCTGCAGGTGGAAGATGGGCTCACTACACCATTGTGCCAACCCCTAGAACAAGTTACTCTTAAAGTGTCTTTGCCCAGGTTTCTTCAGTAGTTATGCAAATAGAAATAACTCCTATGCAAACTAGGGAACGTGTGTTAAATGTCAACTCTGCCACACATAAGCAATGTGGCCTCAAAAAAAAAAAAAAAACAGTAAAATGCTTGTCTCAGTTTCCTCGGCAGTCAAATGGCCCTGGTCTCTGGACCCCGAAGCTGGCTCTCTCTCTCTCTCTCTCTCTCTCTCTCTCTCTCCCCGTATATATCTTTGACCTTCAGGCTGGAAGGAGTCATGGGGAGTGCTCTGTTCCGCCAACCCGTAGCAGCGCGTGGGAAAAGACCTCCAAGCGCAGGCCGAGAAGCCCGAGCAAATTTCCCTTCACCCATCTGGGAAATGGGCTCGGACCAAACTGCTGACTTTGCGCTGGCGATTCCCCGAGGAACTTGGGGAAGGGAGGGCGGCTGCTCGCCTCCAGAGGACTTTGCAGTCGCAGTCTGCAGCCGGTCATCGCACTGGGGACTGGAGGCATCCTTGCGCGCGAGGCGAGGGGCCTGTCTCCCTGGCCAGCTCCCGCAAGCCTCTGGTGGCGTCCCCGCAGCCCTGCCAGCCTTCCCAGCCCCGGACCCTCGGAGTCATTGGCGCCCAGGCCTCGCCAGAGGGCACCCTCGATCTTCCGGAACGCACCACCATTTTTTATTTTTTATTTTTTATTTTTTTCCGCGCCCCTGGAGCGTCTCCAGAGCCGCCGACTCCAGGCTTGTCAATGAGGAGTCGGGGCCGGGATCGCCGCCCGTGCTCGGAGGCGTGGGGGCCCAGCTCCCTCCCCGGACCCCTGCCCGGCGTCCGGCCTGGCCCCTCGGTGGGGTGGGGTGGGATTGGGGGGTGGCCCGGGGGCCTGGGAGGGAGGAAACGCGGACGAGGAAAGCGCGGACTGACAGCTGGCCAGAGGGCGACGGGGATGGGGGAAGACTCTGGGAGGGAAGGGGGGGTTTGTTCTCCCGAGTAACTTTCCAGAAAAACAGCCAACGTGTAGCAGGAGTGACTCCAAGGGGTGGGGGGGCAGTTCAGTGACCACGTCGGACGCAAAGTATTTTTCAAACGGGCTCGTCTTATCCTGTGCCTGTTTAAAACATTAAAACTGTGCAGCGAGGGAGGCTGCGTGCGCTGGTCCCTCCCTCCGTCCCTCCCCCACCCCAGGACGGAGACGTCATGGGAGGGAGGTATAAAATTTCAGCAGAGAGAAATAGAGAAAGCAGTGTGTGTGTGCATGTGTGTGTGTGCATGTGTGAGAGAGAGAGAGAGAGAGAGAGAGAGCGGGAGGGGGGAGCGGAGAGCAGAGCCAAGTCCAATCCGAGGCAGCCGGCTGAGAGAGGCGAAAGACAGGGGAAGAAGCACGCGAAAAAGAAGCGAGCCCAGCTTGCCGGAGCAGCACTGCTGGGCTTGGCTTCCCTTGACCTGACCAACTTGATCTTCTCAAGAGAAGCCAGGGACAGGAGCGATGGCCGAGGGAGAAGACGAGCAGCGGTGCTGGTGACCGTGGGCGTCCGAGTGGATTATTGGGGCTTCCAGTTGCGCTGAACCCCACGGTCCTAGCCAATGAAGACGCCGGGCAAAGCGTGAACAGTCATTAAGAAAGCCCCCAGCAAGTGTAAACAAGAGGGCCAGCATGGATGGAGTGCCTGGGGGCCGAGGGTGCCCTGTGCTGCCCCCACCTTTAGCTTACCCAGCAGCCGCCCAGCCCTGCCCCTCCCCACCTACTCACTTCTGATCTTTTTTTTTTCCCCTTTCCTCTTCTTTTTTTCTTTTCTATTCTCTCCATCTTTTTCTCCTTCAGCGCAAGACAACAAGGATTTTGATATTTTTTTTTTTTTGGAGGTTGGGGGGACCCGGCCATGGTCCTTCCGTGCCCTCTTTAAAACACCCGCTTTCTTTCCCAACGCCCAGCGGCGATTGGCACTATCAGATATCTGCTCTATTTATTTTTACCTAAAGGAAAAACTCCAGCTCCCTTCCCACTCCCAGCTGCCTCGCCACCCCTCCCAGCCCTCGGTTTGCCCTCCAGCTGGGCTGCGGGGAGTCCGAGCCGAGCTAAAAAACCTGTTGAGAGACGCGCGCATGGACGAGACTCGGCAGCGCTGCGAGGCGCGCGCACACACACAGTCCGCTCGCTTCTTCGGCCTCGGCGTTGCCAGCGCTTCCTGGAAGTCTGGAGCTCTCGCAGTGCAGTGAGTTCATGCACCTTCTTGCCAAGCCTCAGTCTTTGGGATCTGGGGAGGCCGCCTGGTTTTCCTCCCTCCTTCTGCTCATCGGCTGGGGTCTCCTCCTCCCCAGGCCTCACCAGCCCCCAACTCCACCCCCACCGCGGCCTCTCTCTGTCTCTCCCCATCCACCCGCCCCTCCACCGGCTCGCCCATGAAGATGCACTTGCAAAGGGCTTTGGTGGTCTTGGCCCTGCTGAACTTCGCCACGGTCAGCCTCTCTCTGTCCACTTGCACCACCTTGGACTTTGGCCACATCAAAAAGAAGAGAGTGGAAGCCATTCGGGGACAGATCTTGAGCAAGCTCCGGCTCACCAGCCCCCCTGAACCGTCGGTGATGACCCACGTCCCCTATCAGGTCCTGGCCCTTTATAACAGTACTCGGGAGCTGCTGGAGGAGCTGCAAGGGGAGAAGGGAGAAGGCTGCACTCAGGAAAACACCGAGTCGGAATACTATGCCAAAGAGATCCATAAATTCGACATGATCCAGGGGCTAGCGGAGCACAGTAAGTCTGGATTCCCTGCCGCAGAAGGTCCGCGCTGGAGCAGGGCGCTGGGCAGGGGTGGTGATGGTGGGGGCAGGAGCTGGTTGGCAGCCGCCACACTACAGAGTGTCCTGGGTCTGCCAGCACGACTGGAGCTGGGAGGTAGTTAGGGAGGGAGACAGAGCCATTCTGCCGAAAGCCAGGCTGCAGGAAGGCTGGGTCCTGAAGTCCCAGCACAGCCTGCACTGGTTTTTCAGTTAGCATTGTACCATGCTGCAGTGTGTGTGTGTGTGTGTGTGTGTGTGTGTGTGTGTGTGTGTGTGTGTGTGTGTCCTCACGTGGGATTCTGTAGGCAACTGTAAACATGTGGGGCGGCTGGCTCTCTCCTTTAAGCCCTGACAGTTCCATGAAGTTTGGAGACCCGGTGTCCCCTCCCTGCTTAGCCCAGTTCACGGTGACACATCTTTCTGTCAGCTTTTCCAGTTTCTGAGTTATAGCAGTACCTGCCCCCAAGCAGAATGTATGAGAAGTATCTGGAAGCCCAGGCACAAGAGCCTGGGATCTTCCATCTGCACCACACACATGACCCACGGGAGTCCACGTGTGGCGGGGGAGGGCAAGCACGTGTGTTCACACATCTGTGGACTTTAGAGCAATGGGCTGTCCAGTAGGCAGACTGCTCAAAAATGGGGACCTTCCCAACCAGTGGACTTCAGAGAGTCGGGGCTGTGGTACTGCGTGTGGAGGGGAGGGCTGGCGGCTCTTTGCGTCTGTGTGTCACAGGTGGACGGGAGGGCTGGCCGTGGGAGCGTCGGGGTGGTGTGTCAGGGTGCGTGTCTTCCCAGGAGGCTTACTGTCTGCGCTCAGGAGCTGGGAGCTGTGGGCTGAGACGCCAGTGTGTTTGTGCACGTGTGGAAGTCATGTGTGTTTACTGAACAGGGATTTAAAAAACCTCAATACAAGAGAGAGAAATTTGGCAGATGTGAAGAAACTGACAGCCCAGGAAGAGGAATGCGAGCCACTTGTGGGCCAGAGGCCCTGGGTGCAGCTCTGTTTGCTTTTCCTACCAGCAGGTGTCCTCACTGCCCTGCCCACCTCAGCCCAGGCCCACCTGGGAACTGGGCAGTGCATACAAAGGGAGTGGGGAGCAGGCCGGGTGAGGATGAGGAGTTGGGACAAGGAGTCTGGTTAGAGAAGCAGCAGGCATGGGTACTGATGGGTGGACCGGCTCTGGCTGTGGGAAGTGCAAAAGGCCCTGTTGGGAGCAGGCCCATACCAGGTGGAGGAGTTTGTGGTTACTGGCAGGGGTTCCTGTGGCTGCCTGGGGCGTCCTTCCTTAGGATGTGGCTACTGTGAAGGGCAGAGGCAGAGCTGGAGCTCCCTGGCCAGGCCTCTCTGGGTGGGGCCGGTTCAGGGTCCGCCAGGGATCTACCTTCCTGGGCACCCACCGGGGCAGGAAGTAGCAGCCACAAATATCAGAGGAAGGTGGGAGTGAATGCTGGAGGAGAGTGTGGGGCCAGAGGGCAGCATTGAGACCTTAATGACCCAGGCCAAGGGGAGGAGTTTGAGGGAGGAGGAGGAGTTGAGTCACTCAGCTGAGTCCACTCAACCTAAAATCCTGAACTGAGAATGAATGAGCTAGCCAGATGCAAGGTCTGAGTGCAGGTGGACATGATTTTTTTTTTTTCAGAGATGTAGGGTACAAGTTGTGGATGGCCCAGGAAAACACCAAGGCCCCCACAGATGCTGGGCATTTTGCAGGTTGCAGCACTAGGGTGGCCACATGGCTCTGGGTCAATGTCTGGCCCAGGGCAACCCAGGGCATAGCTGTCAGGATACTGTTTGAGATGCCAGAGGAGCTGGTGTCCGGTGGGACCCAGGTGATGCCACAGAGGCTAGTGGGTGCAAACAGGAAGTGGGCTCTGCTGACTCCCTGCAGCTGCAGGCGGTGACAGAGGCAGAGCCGATGCTGAACTGGACCCACCCTGCAGCTGCTCAGGTGCTGAGCCCGCCCTGGAGAGGCAGACACATGGGGCCACAGTAATTATAAAGAAGGCAGCAGGCAGGTGCACACGCCCAGCAGCTGTTGCATGGGGGTGGGAGCATCACCAGAGTGAGGGGAGCCTGTCTCCAATTTGTGATGGCGGGCAGGGGTTTGCAGGGGTCTGTGGTGGGTGCATCCATCAGCAGGGCCTCAATACCAGGGTTTCCTCCATCTACAAAATCAGAGACAAGCCCTGGACTCCCTTTTCTACTGAAAGAGACATATAATGACAGCGAGGCTGAGTGGGCAGGGATCCTCCTGCGGAGTCCAGGCAAGACTCCATGCTCCCTGTCTTCATTCTCTAGGGTTTTGCCTTGGGAGGTGAATAGAGAGGCTTTCCCTCTATGCTGAGAAGGGACATAGGTGTCATCCCATCTCCCATATGGTGGAGTGTGAAGGAACAGGCTTCTTGTGTGTCAGCCAAGGGCAATGCAAAGACAGCCAGCGAGCAGGTGGAGTTCAGACCCAATCATTATTGCCTGGGATAGAAAAAATGATATAGATATGGAATGAACCATGATATTTTAGATACAAGAGGTCAGGTGTGGGCATTTAGCCTGGTCCTGAAGATGTACTTTGGAGTCCCTGGGTTCGATCCCCGGTGCTGGCCCTGACTTCAGCTGTCCACTGATGCCACCCCCGGGAGTACTCAGATCTGAGCTCTGCCTGCTGGCATCGCCCAGCTGTTGCTGACTCACGTGGAACTCTGGCCAGCACCCTCTGGGGCTGAAGAGGGCAGCACCGGAGGACTCCCCACGTTATTTGTCATTCTACGAGAATCCATAGATTTTGGTGACAGGAAAGAACTATCCCAACCTGTTTTCTTGAAATCTTTGTAATCCACTGAGAGGATTCTGTCTTGGTGGCATAGATCCGTGTCTAATGGCCTGGATGATTTCCCAGGGCTTCCGGGGAGTCCTTGGGCTCATGGGTTTCCTTGTCTCCTGGCTTCTACCACCTTGTCTTCACTTTGGCTGTTCTTGCCAGCAGGTGCCTTTTTAAACTTTAATACCTTAAACATTTATTTATTTGACAGGCAGAAAGAAAGAGAGAGAGAGAGCGAATCCTCCATCTACTGGTTCACTCCCCGAAACAGCTCCAACAGCCAGGTCCAGGCCAGACTGAAGCCAGGAGTCAAGAACTCCAGCCAGTTCTCCCTTGTGGGGGTCAGGAGCCCCAGCACTTGGGCAGTTATCTTCTGCTACCTTTCCAGGTGCATTAGCAGGGAGTTGGATTGGAAGTGGAACAGCTGGGACCAGCATTCTGATATGGAATGCTAATGCATAGGAGGCAGCTTAACATGCTGCACCACACCAGTCCTCTCCTCTCCCCCCTTCTATAGTATGGGACACATTGTACTCAACCCTTCTTCCCCTTGGAGTCAGTCATTGGAGGTGCTGGCATAACTGAAGCCATATTGATGACAGTTCCTTCCAGACCCATCTCTGTTCTTAAGAGTGCCACTGGTCCCAAACAGCTCTTCCATATCCAGAGTGTCACTCACTGTCTTATAAACCACTTGCTACTGCTGGGTCTTCCCTCTGCTTTGAGCTGAAAGACTCAGGGAGTAGTTGGCAGTGTTTGTTCTTTGAAGGCCAATTATCAGTCAGAGCTCCGTTGGCTGGCATTCGCACACTTGTTTTCCTAACATCTGTTCCATTAATTTCTCTAAGAACCTGTGTCAGGCCCACCAGATGGCAGTTTCCAGAACACGCACCCATTCTTTCCGGAAGATCAGTAGCACATTTGCTTCTTTGCAGGCGTCTGATCTTTCCCGCCTTGCTGGTGACTTCCTAAACCACCCCTCGGGGTGATTATGAGCGCGTTCCAGCCTTGTCCATTATGTGTGGAATCTACACCCAGGGGCTTGAATTTCACCTTTTGGTTATTGCAACCATTTGTGCAGAAGAAAAGTTTTTCCTGGGTGTTGATGCTGCTGCGGCCTTGAAATTATCCCACGTGTGGCAGCTAAGAAGCGGAGCGCACTCCCAGTCTCCTCTCTCTCTCCTTCTTCCCCTCACCACCCCTGCTCTAGCCCTGGCTGCCCTGTGGGCATGGATGGAAAGGCCAGCAGGGTGACAGAGGCTGGCATAGCACATGCTGCCCAAGGAAGAGCCCCTTAAAGAGAACGGAACCAGTGGGGACAGATGTGTGTGAGCTGAACGAACATCTGTGTGTGCCAGCCTACAGACGTGTGACATGCAGAGCCGATGATGTCACTCTTGCTCAGACACCTCCCCTGGCTTCTTAACTGTTGACAAGATAAAACCCAGCCCCTCAGTCTGGCATATGGCCTTCCAACAAGGCCGGGGGTGGGCACCCCCATCTATTGTCCTCACCTCCTCTTACCTGGCACCAGCTATTGCTTTCCTACTTCTTTATGCCCCTTCCTCCCTGCCTGGCCTGTGCTGTCCTGCTCCCACTCAGCCTCTCCTCCTTCAGGGACCAGGTCTGGCGCCATCTCCTCCAGAAAGTTTTCTGTCCTCTCTCTCCCTCTCCTGACCTCCTTACAGCCACCCCTGGCCTTCTCCAAAGACCTTTTCCTTCCTGGCCCTGTTGTCCGGGTCTGTGTTTGAGTCACCTCCTCTGGTTCATAGTCCCCAGGGAAGGCAGGGGGCTGTGTCTGTTCACTTCTGGTTCCCCAGGGTTGGCGCTAACACAGGCACATCTGACTTCATACATATCTGGTTAACGAATGAGTGTCTGAATGGACACATGAATGAGTGCACTCACTCCAGGAGTAGTAGAGTACAAGGGGGAATTGCTGGTAACTTTTTTTTAAAAAAGATTTATTCATTTTTATTGGCAAGTCAGATATACAGAGAGGAGGAGAGACAGAGATCTTCGTCTGTTGATTCACTCCCCAAGTGGCTGCAATGACTAGAGCTCAGCCAATCTGAAGCCAGGAGTCCAGAGCCTCTTCTGGATCTCTCACATGGGTGCAGGGTCCCAAGGCTTTGGGCCATCCCTGACTGCTGTCCCAGGCCACAAGCAGGGAGCTGAATGGGAAGTAGGGCCTCTGGGATTAGAACTGTGTCCATATGGGATCCCAGCATGCCTAAGGCGAGGACTTTAGCCTTTAGGCTACCGTGCTGGGCCCCTGCTAGTAACTTTTGAGAATCGATATTTTCTAAAAATAGTAGGAAACCCTGGCTGAAGGGCTTAACAGAGTTAGAGGGTGGGGGAAAATGACATTTGAGTGGCCTGTCTTTAGTGTCCTGTCCACCGACCCTATGGTGTTACTGCTTCTTGCTTTGGGCTATGTGTTGTTCTAGAGCCATCCAGAACCCTCCCATGCCTCTGCCCTCAGGACTGAAGCCTCCAGACCAGTAAGGCAGTCACAGGTGAGGTGACGGCCACTTGGTGACCCCACTCATGTCCCTAGGGATCCACTGACACTGCATGTCTTCCCACTGCCTTCTGTCCTAGACGAGCTGGCCGTCTGCCCCAAAGGAATTACCTCCAAGGTTTTCCGCTTCAATGTGTCCTCAGTGGAGAAAAATGGAACCAACCTATTCCGAGCAGAATTTCGAGTCTTGCGGGTGCCCAACCTCAGCTCCAAGCGCAATGAGCAGAGAATCGAGCTCTTCCAGGTAAATCCAGAACAAAGACTGTCCAGGTGGGAAAGCCCATGTTCCCCTTCGAGGCCTCCTTTGAGCGCAGAGTTCAGCAGATGGGGGCTTAAGTGGGGCTTGGGTCTGCATCTGTCTCCAAGAGGGGCTGGAAGAAGGTGGCCGGCCACAGCCCTTGCCTGGTGCTTCTCTGCTGCCTGCATTCCCACACCAAGCCAGGATCCATGATGCTCTATGTGGACCTGATGCATGGACCCTTCTCTGCCCTACAGATCCTCCGGCCAGATGAGCACATTGCCAAGCAGCGCTACATTGGTGGCAAGAACCTGCCCACACGTGGCACGGCCGAGTGGCTGTCTTTTGATGTCACGGACACTGTGCGTGAGTGGCTTTTGCGAAGAGGTAGGTTGCTTCCTCCAACCCCCACTCCCAGATGAGTATGAACCTCAGGCTCCTGGGACCTTTGGAAGACATGGGGCAAAGGTCATTGATTGGAGGTCAGGGCCTCGCTGCACTGACTCAATGAATGTTGATCATATGCTCCTTGGGGACTCAGCAGTGACCAGGACGGAGAGGTCCCAGACCTCATGGGGCCTTCCCTCTGGTGGGAAAGACAAAGAACAAGCAAACATACTAACAAGGAAGACTCTCAGGAAGAATGTTTATGATTCTAGGGCCATCCAGAACTTCCTCCTCTCTCTACCGGCAGGGCATCACAGGTAAAACAATAGCCACTTGGTTACCCCACTGTCTCAGAGGTCCACTCACACTCTGCATGTCGAGCCGGCCGTCTGTCCCAAAGGAATTACTGCCAAGATTTTTTACTTTAATGTGTCTTTAGTAGAGAAAAATGGAACCAACCTGTTCCATGTAGAATTCCTGGTCTAACAAGAACGAAGTGTCTAAGGGTTGGGGGAGGAAGAGCAGGTGATTCTGACAGATAGGACCCCCAGCAGGTGCTCAGGGATGGTCTCTAGAATGAAGGAGTTTGTGCACTGAGAAGGGAGGGATGAGAAGGAGCCAGTCCTCCGAGGTCAAGGGGAAGGATGCCTTAAACAGAGGGCCCGGCGAGGCCCATGTCCTCAAGTAGAGGACAGCTCATTCTGTGTGACAGTCACCAGTAGACTGGTGGGGATGGAGTGTGACAGCCCCGGGGAACAGAGGAGTGACTGAGATCAGGCATCAAGGAGGACTTGTTCCAAGCACAGGGTGGGAAGCCACAGGAGTGCTGCAGGCGGGGCTGGAGGCTGAGAGTGATGTGACTTGGTGGAGAGACCCTGCTGGTGGTCTGCAGTCCGGGAAGGAAACAGAACAACCAGTTGGGGTCCACTGCAACAGCCCAGACACGAGCAACAGGGATGGTGAATGGATTTTCTTCCATGTTTTGGAGGTGGAGATTAGGTAGGGGATGTGGAGACGAAAGAGGCGTCACAGATGTGATTTCTAACATTTGAGACTGAGTTTCCAAGTGGTATCACTAATAGGGAAGATAGGGAGAAGAACAAGGACAAGGGCAGGTTCTGTTTTGTCCAATTAAATTTGCAAGGCCTGGTAGTCATCCAAGTAGAGCTGACAGGTCCAAGTGCATCACACTGCCTGTGTCCCAGTCTTACCCACTCATTGTGTTTCCTCACCTGGAAAATTAGGTAACGGCTCCACCCCTGTGTACCTCACAGAGATGGTTTAAGAATCCCAAGCATCTAAGAAAACCTCATGGCTCTCAACATAGTTTTATAGGCATGAGCTTTATTTTTGAAGATTTATTTATTTGAAAGTTAGTGTTACAGAGAGAGAAGGAAATAGGGAAAGAGAAAGAGAAAAAAAGATCCTCCATCTGCTGGTTCACTTCTCCAAATGGCCACAACAGCCAGAGGCTGATCCAGGTTGAGGCCGGAAGCTTGCAACTCCATGTGGGTCTCCATGTGGCACTTGGGCCATCTTTCTGTTGATTTCCCAGGTACATTAGCAGGGAGCTGGAGGAGTAAGTGTATTCAGTTAGGTAAAGGAACTGAAGTCCAGAGAAGTGAAATGTCAGGATCAAGGTTATCCGGTCTGGCTGGAAGTCGAGTCTGCTGCTGCTGGTCCACCTGGCTCTTGACATCAAGCACTTCAGTTTCTCTCCCTTTTGCATCCCTGGTTTGTTGTTGCCTGGTCTGACTGCTCAGTGGGCAGCGTTACATATGGTAGCCCCATCTGCCCCTTCTCTTCCTCCTTGGCAAGGTTTTCCTCCATCACGAGCTGTGATCAGGCCCTAGTCCAGGGACATATGGATGCTCAGAGTCCCTGAGCTAGGGGGCTCCTTCCACTGTCCTTGATATTTGGGCAAGGCAGAAATTCCAGACTGCAGGGCCTGCTTACTGCTCTTGGGTGGAGCTGGTGGGCACTGATGGTTTTTCTTTGTCAGGAGATGGGACTCATTCGCCAGCAAGCACCCTCTTCCTCCCTGCCTTGATCAGCACAGTCCTTGCCTCTCCTCCTTGTTCCCCAAGACTTGATGCTGGACCTTCCAGTGTAGTATGATCGAGGGTGGGGGTTGAAGGGCTCAACATGTGTGACCTGCCGGCCTCTTCATGCATCAGACTGCAAAGTCCCCACTTGAAGGGCATTATTAGGTGGCTGAATGGGCAGACTTTGGATCCCAACCCTAAGGTTGGCCAGGAATTCCATCCTCTGTCCGGGGTGCACAAAGGGGAATCCGGCAGCAGTGCTGTTGGGAATTCTGAGTCAGACTGGCGCTCCTGCCCAGAGCCTGGGCTTGGCTACAGGAAGGCGGGGCCGGGGAAATGATTCTCTTAGCTTCCCTGTCTGATTTTCATCAGCTCCACCTGGATTTCTTTGAAGCCCTGGGCACTTGAAGGAGTTCTTATTTTCACAGCTGCAGAACTCAATGAGAAGTTTGCGTTGGGAATGATTTCCATCCTCCTTGAGACATCAAAAAGATAATTTCGTAATAAAATCTATGGGTCCCCCGCCCACCATCCCTTTTGCTGCCAATTCTGAAGTTAGTTCTTCACTTGGATCCCGCAGCGCCCACTCGGGCAGGGACTGCCCAGCCTTCCCGCAAAGGAAACTGATGACATAGGCTGTGACTTCCCAGAACTCAGGGGTCTACTCAGGGTTCAAGGTCTCAAGCCAAGGACACCAGAGGACTCCAGAACGGAATAGTGATGTGATCTTGGATTTGTTCAGCAAACACCTGAGAGCCCATGTGCATCAGGCACCCAGTTGGCTTTCTGGGTCTCAAGGCTGGTTGGAGCATGGTCCAGACTTGGGGATCAGAGAGCTCAGTCCCTGGCGCTGCTGCTGCTGCAGCTCCTCTGTGTACAAAGCCAGGCCTCCCCAGCAAGCTGGCCAGGGACCACTTCCAGCATCATGGCTGGGGACAGGTGGGTCTACAAGAAAGCACCATTTTTTGGCTTCTCAGTGATTGTGTGGACAGCTTCCTTGGTGGTCACTACATTCCTCCCTCCCCCGCCTTGAGTTGCCCCTTGTTTCCCTAATGATGCTAGATCTGGGATTGGCCCTACTGCATCCTGGTTAGATGCAATTGGGCAAGCCATCCCATTTCCTTACATCTGTTGTTCTCATCTGTACAATGGTGGGGGGCGTGTGGGAGAGTTGGTGGGAGCAATCACTGTTCTTACTTTGTAGATTACTTCTGAAATAAAATGAGATAATACTTGTAACATCTCAGAACACTGTATCTCTGGAACTGAGCCAGAGGTCAAACCAGGTCATCTGGTGCTTAGCACTTGTGCCCTGAGCCACTCTTCCTGGTATATCTGTCTACACCTTGACTCTAACCCAGAGTCATAGAACTCAGCCATTCCAGGTTTCTCCCAGCCCACCTTGTACCCCCTTGAACAAGGAAGTCTGCCATGTTGTTAGGAAGTCTGTTTCAGCTTCTCTGGCTGCTGCTACTTCTTAATGCAGAGGGAGGACGCTCCTCACACCTCCTTTCTGTTCACTTCTTACCGGCCAGGGCTCTTGTTGACCTGCTTCGCTCCAGGACAGACTCCCCTAGCTTGGCAGGTGTCAGTGTGTCCTAGAGGATGCCCTGGCTTGGGTCACAGCAGAGCTGGGCTCTGGAGTTCACAGAAGAAAGGGAGCTGGTTTATAGCCAGCAGGACCGGGATGCCCAGGCTGAACAAATGCTGACCGGAATCTCATGGCTGCTGTATCATGCTGCCCTGGACACAAGGCTGAGCCAGGCTGGGCTCTGGGCTTTTCTTTGATGAACACCAGATTTCAGAAAGATTCTTGAAAGGCCAGATGTTCACACACACACTAGGGTGGCCCCAGGGAGTAATATACCAATGGGCACTAGAATGTCACTTCCAGTCTCTCATGCTCGTTCTCTCTGAGCTTCTGCCATGTGGGCCTTTGGCTGTGGCCTCTGGTCTGTTCTTGAATTTTTACCACTGTTTCCCAAGCTGTCCTTCTTTGGCGGACTGTCTACTTTCCCAGTATGAATGAGGACTCCCAAGCACTTTTTTAACCTCACGATGTACTTAACCAGGAGGGAAACAAGGCCAAGTGCAAGCATGATTTTCATCTTCCCTCTGGACTTGACTGCTTCCTGTCTGTGCACAGGCACAGCCATGCTAGACAGGCTGGCATCTTCTACCCAGACATGTTCTGCTCCTGGTTGGCAGCTGACCTTGCCTTGAGCATCAGCTCCTGACCTGCGGTCTTCTGGACAGCCTCCTGTTGGTGTGCCTTGCTGTTCTCATCTCTCTTCGGTTATTGCCTCTACCTCATTTCTTGTACTTCCTCTGCCTCCTCCCTTCCTCCTTCCTCAGCAGGTTGGCTCAAATGTCTTGCAACCGACACTTAACCATTGCAAGCTTTTCTTTCTCGTGTCCTTGTCCTTTTGCCCTGAAGCAGGAAGGCCATGATTTTCTCTTAATAACATCCTTTGGAAATGAGTGGCTCTTTTGGTCTCCGTTTATTTTGAAAACAGGACAGTGGCAGGTGTGTGTGAGGGGAGATACAGACACACATAGATCTCTCATCTGCTGGTTCACTCTCCAAATGCCCCCTGACACTGTGGCAGGGCCAGACTAATGCTACATGTTGGGCATTCAATCCAGGTCTCCAGTGTGTGTGTGTGGCAGAGACTCAAGTACTTGGGTTGTTACTTGCCTCTCCAGGGTGTATGTCAGCTGTAATCAGGATCACTGCCAGCACTTGAACGTAGACACTCCAATACAGGATGTGTGCATCCCAAGATGCACCAGACACCTGCCCTGAGATTGGATGACTGTGACCAACCTCCTACTGCTGCCCACCAGCTTCCTCTTCCATTTGGCTATTCACGATGTGGTAGACATACATTACATGTGGCAACGTGTGTTGTGTGTGAGGATCCACTCTGAGTTTTGGATGCTGTCCATGTGTGCCTGGATACTCGGCATAGCTCAGATTGCTGTGAGCACCACCGCAGCAGAGGCCCGACTCTCCCCACTCTACAGATGGAAATTTTCTTGCTGACGCTGTGTCTTCTTTTACAGAGTCCAACTTAGGTCTGGAAATCAGCATTCACTGTCCATGTCACACCTTTCAGCCCAATGGAGATATCTTGGAAAATATTCACGAGGTGATGGAGATCAAGTTCAAAGGTAACAGACTGGATGTGTGGGAGCTAATGGGGCAGGAGATCCTACCAGACTACCAGACAATGAGTTCAGAACTTAGGTACAAATGGTCAGCTATTTTGTATTTGGGCAGTTTTGCTCTGCTCTAGACCAATGGACATGATTTGCACCTTTCCTTTCCTTTCCTGAAGAAACCAGTACAGATGCACTCAGCCTCTCATTCCTGAAGCTGAAGCTATGTAGCTCTTAGGTGCTTTGTGATCTCATCCGCCCAAGTGGTGAAAGCTTCTGAACTACAAATACAATGTGAGCATGAATGGTGGTAAATCAAAGGCTTGTTTCTTTGGCTCCCACCCAAACCTGTGGCCGGCCTTGTGACACCTGAAGTTCTCAATAGAACTTCTGTGCTACCTTGACCAAGACTTTTTTTAAAATATATTTTAAAGATTTATTTTTATTGGAAGGTGAGATTTACAGAGAAGGAGACACAGAGAGAAAGATCTTCCATCTGCTGGTTCACTCCTCAAGTGGCTGCAATGGCCAGAGCTGAGCCGATCCAAAGCCAGGAGCCAGGAGTTCCTTCTGGGTCTCCCACATGGGTGCAGGGTCCCAAGGCTTTGGATCATCCTCTAATGCTTTCCCAGGCCACAAGCGAGGAGCTGGAAGGGAAGTAGAACAGCCAGGATACAAACTTGTGCCCATATGGGATCTTGACTGTTGCAAGGCAAGGACTTTAGCTACTAGGATACCACTCAGGCCTACCTTGACCAACTCCTAAGAGAAAACTCACACCCAATAGTCTTCAGCCTTAGGGTCCACAGTGATCACCTATTGTTCCATGTTTGGGACCAGGTGACAAGAAAGCCTCATGGGCCCAGGAAGACTCCTAGGACACAGCTCATGTAGAGCTGTTGTTATCTTTGTGGAGAATCCTGTATGGCATGTGTACCTAAACGTGTGCACCTTACAGCAACATCCCTCCAATGACAACTGAGCTCTGCTCCTGGGTCCTCCGCACAGCTTTCCTCCCCCATTGCAGCAGCAGGCTTCGCAAGGCAGCTCCCCTCGTGCCTCAAGCCTTCCTTTCCTGGACAGTGATGGGATGGGAGGAGATCGTGGCCTCCAAGGGCTCTGCTTGCCCTATTTAGAACTTGCTGCCTTCTTCCCCTTGTGCAGGCGTAGACAATGAGGATGACCATGGCCGTGGAGATCTGGGGCGCCTCAAGAAGCAGAAGGATCACCACAACCCTCACCTCATCCTCATGATGATCCCCCCACACCGGCTCGGCAACCCGGGCCAGGGTGGGCAGAGGAAGAAGCGCGCCCTGGACACCAATTACTGCTTCCGGTGAGTGTGGGGGTGCCTGGAAACAGATGTCTACTTATCCCAAGGACCCTGATGCTGTCCACGAGTGTTTCTGGGAAGATGGGTGGGGGGATTCCTACAAACAAATGTGTGTTTCTGGGAGCCTCGTGGTCTTTCTGCAAGTCTCACTCTGCAGAGGTCTTGGGTATAGTGAAAGAACTGCTCAGGTTGCTGGCGTTGGAAATGCTTGGTGGAAGCCTCTCCCTGGCTTGTGGTCCCAAGTATCTGTAGGGTGTGTGTGTGTGGTGACGGGGAACAAGAGGAGGCGGTACTAGAGGAGTGATTAATGCAGGAGTTTCCAGTAATAAGTACTCAGTTCTCTATGAAAAGGAGAAAAAGAGAGAAAAAGAAAAAGAGAGAGGGCGGGGTTGGGGTTGGGCGGAGGGGAAGTAAGGGAAGGGCATCTGAACAGTGAATAAAGTGAATAAAGCAATTTAGAACTGGCTGGGCAGCCATTATGCAGAGCTAGAAAGTCACAGCTTCTTCCCTGACTGGGCTTGTCCCAGCCAATCTGCTGGTTTGGAAGGGAGAAGATGTTACCCATATGCTCAGTTACAAAAAGGCAGAGAGTAGCCCCACCCAGGAGAGGTGCTGAAGGGAGGAGGATGCAGTGGGGAGTTCATGGAGTCATGGTCATGGGCAAGGCCTTCAGGAGGGTGTGAAGATGGCTCTCTGTAAGGAAGTGAATTCTGGGTATGCAGGGATCTGGGAGAAGGAAGCCCCTTGGGTCCAGGCAGGCATAAGGGGACAGTGGGTCCAGGCAGGCATAAGGGGACAGTGGGACTGGAAAGGAGGTATGCAAGGGGCTGGCAGAATGAGTTGGGGAATCTTTCCATCTTTATGGACACCTGATGGAGGCCAAGCTTGGCCAACAGGTGTAGGAGAGGCAGTAGGATTGCTGCTCGCCTTGTGGAAGGCCAGTGGTGCGGTTTATCTGCAAGGAATGAGTGTTCTTGGCTGCAGACATCCGTGCCTTCCACTTCCGAGCTCTCTGGTTCCCAAGAGGCCTGTGTCTGCAGGTTCAGGGTCAGACTAGCTGTCCAGCTCTGCCAGAGAGGACATAGATTTTCCAGCTCAGAGGTTTTCCAGGGGTTTCATTCGTGAGAAGCTGGAATGGTTAGCGAAGGCAGGACACAAGCTTAAGCACTCCGACAATGGGACATCCCAAGTGTTATCTTCTCTGTGCATAACATGTGTCCCCTCTTGCTGCATTTTCTCACCCATCATGTCCTCGGGATCCTGGTCTTCAACACAGAAAACTGTTCTGGTTTCTTTAGCCCCTTTGAAGATGGTATTCCCTTGATTTGGACCATCTCCCGTGCCAGCCTGGGAAGACTCCGGCGGGGGGGGGGGGCGGTGGGAAAGATGAGGGTGTTTGTGCAGTTTTTTTCATGATTAGGTTCCTTATAGGTTCATTTTTTTTTTCCCTCAATACTTTTTGTGGCAGCAACCTGGAAGAGAACTGCTGTGTGCGCCCTCTCTACATTGACTTCCGCCAGGACCTGGGCTGGAAATGGGTCCACGAACCCAAGGGTTACTACGCCAACTTCTGCTCGGGGCCTTGCCCATACCTCCGCAGTGCAGACACAACCCACAGCACGGTATGGGGTGGGCCAGTGCACCTGAGGACCCTGAAGGCTGAGCCAGCCAGGCCATCTGTTAGAAAGAATGAATGAAGCATTGAACATAGAATGAGGGGCTGATGATCTGGGGGTGCGGGGAGCTGGGGCAGTAAAGTCATCCATCCCTCTGCTTAAGGTTCTGATCTTGGCACACAGGGTCTGACGCTCTCTGGTCACATTCCTACCATAGTTTCTAGCAGACTTTTTATTTGCTTTGTCGAAAGCTTTTGTGTGGTGGCAATGAAGGGGCTGTCACACAGTCCCCTCCATGTAAGAGACGTGTGTGCATAGTTGGCAAGCAGTGTTGGGGGGAAAAAGGCATCTACCATTAGTTAAAGAACTCTGGTAGTTCTAGCCTCTTGGGTGCAGAGAAGTGATTCTGAAAGCTCATGCAGAAAGCACTTGGATGAGGCTCCTGTGGAAACTCGGGGCCCAGCTTGCCTTTTTCTCCAGAGGAATCAGAAATAGGACAGTGATATGTGACACGTGCTTCCTCGCAGCTCATTAGTACTGCATCCTGTTTAAGGCCCTATACTCTCAATACTTAAAAAACAGCCCAAGGCAGGCTTTGGGGAGAGCCATCAAACAGCAGGCCAAGAGTCAGTCATAGGTGGGAGGACTGAGACGGCACTGATTCTTACTAGTCCAGAACTTCACCATCAATTCAAGTGTCTTCGTAACCTCTCTGTACACAAGCATACGGGCTCTGCCTTCTGCCATGACAAGCAAACAACTACAGGTCTCTCACCCAGATTATGTCCCAGTGGTTTCCTTTATGCAGCAGCCAAGGCCAAGGCCAGCCTGCCACTCTTGGGAGTAATCCCCTTCAACTTGTAGCATTCCTAGGGAGGTAGGCTAAGGTTGGGTGTCCCCCTCTTTAAATGCCGTGCTCCTCCCCAGGTGCTGGGACTGTACAACACCCTGAATCCAGAGGCCTCTGCCTCGCCCTGCTGCGTGCCCCAGGACTTAGAGCCCCTGACCATCCTGTACTACGTCGGGAGGACCCCCAAGGTGGAACAGCTCTCCAACATGGTGGTGAAGTCCTGTAAGTGCAGCTGAGGCCCCGGGACCTGCGTCGGAGGAGACAGAGAGGAGCCGCTGCCCAACTGTCCGCTGCTCCGGGGACATAAAAGCTGCAGACCCGGCCTGGTGGCCGGCCCAGAGCCCGTTCCCTTCGGCTCCAGGCGGGTGACCGAGCCAGAGGTTTCCTTCCAGGACATTTCTCTTTCTTGCTGGCTCTGAAGATCACTGTGGTAAAGGAAGTGTGGGTTTGGTTAGGGGAAGGCTGGACTCTCGAGGACACAGATTTCCTGTGATATGCATATGGAGGTGGTGGGGATGGAGGAAGAGGGGATGGCAAGTTGACCTGTGGCATGGCAGTGGGGCTGGGGCTATCGTGGGGGTGGAGCCAGGGCACAGAATGGCAGAGTTAGGGCCAGTCTGGAAGACACTTGGGACCAGAGGTCGGGTTTGCTCACTGCAGGACTGCACTCCGTGCTGGGGAAACTGGGAAGGTGTCCTACAAGGCAAGCGTTTGTCTTCAGACAAATCACCAAGTCCCAAGTCCCAGCATTCTGTCTCCTACTACCTGGGAGGGAGGGACGGGCTTTTGTTTTGTAAATCGTCTTTCTACATCCATCAACGAACCCAGGCCAACTCAGCACAAGAGAGATGCTGAATTCAGAAGCCAGGGGTGGGCATCAACCCGTTATCCCATCTGCCCTGGGGGTCCCCTCCTCTCACATTCTTCCTGGGTCCAATTCCCCCTTGGATGTTTGGCTGGACTCCTTCCAGGTCAGGACACACATATGTGGATTTGGGGTCTATGTGGCCTCAGGGCACTAAAGGTTTCTTCCTGTGGGGCCGACAAGCCCCTGTGTTCAATTGGTGTTCCTGGAAGCAGGTGCTACAGCCCATGAGGCATTTGGGGTAGCTACCCATGCCAAACAGTGATCTGGCCCCCAGATGCATAGACTGACATATATAAATATAAATATTACTCTCAAAATCTTTGTATAGATAAATATTTTGGGGGAAGCTTGGATGATTTCATCTTCTGGAAGATTGTTTCTACAACAGTAAAAGCCTTATTCTGAGGTCCATGTCTGGCTCTGTCTCCGTCTTTGTCAATCCCCCTGCCCTTCGTTCCGTGGCAACGTCTCAGCAGCTTGGGCAAACTGGAAGCTGGAGGTGGGGGATCTCGCACACATGAGACACGTTGTTTGGTATGACTGCCCTGAGCATGGAACACTGGGAGAAGCCCAAGCTATTGCAGGTGGTCCCTCACATGCACAGAGGTCATGGTTCCTATGTGTAGGAGGCCACTGTGTGAGGGCTGTGAATGTGGGGGTGTGTACAGGGCCAGTGTTGTCACTGTAATGTTGTCGCTGCCTTCAAGCTGCCACCTCCCTTCCCAGATCAGCTTGGAATGAGACAAACTTGGGGTGGAAGGTATGAAAACTGGAGCCTCATTCTGTTAGCAGGTGCAGCTTCACCCAGCTAACCAGGGAATCCCTTTGCAATCTCAGGACTTCTCATGAGAGATCTGGAAATGGGAGAGAGAAAAAAAGAAAAAGAGAGAGAGAAGGATGCAGTCTCCAGAGTTCTCTTGAGGTTGATCATAGATCCCAGAGCCATGGAGGAATCAATATCCCTTTTTGGGAGGGGTCATCCAGCTGCTCCCGCAAAACCTCATTCCTTCAGTGACAGCACGTCACCACTGGGAAGAAAGCCTGAAAGCCTACTGGAAGTGAACTCTGCTGGCTGGGGGCATGTGCACAGTGTGTGCTGCCTCTTGTTCCTCTAGAGTTAGTACTCCAGGAAGGAATTCTTGAGTTTGCTCTCCAAGACTTCCTTCCCTGCCTTGTGCATGCCCAGACAGTTCTCGTGGCCTCTCTGTCTTCACTCCCCGCACCCACTGTGGCCCTCATTTACTACCACTGTCTTGCTGGGTGGGACTGTGGTTTCCCCAATCCCAGGGAGCCTCTGGGGATGTGGTGGGTGCAGCACACTCAGTGCTTCCACCAAGGCCATTGCTGTTCCCCACAGTGTCCCGGAGTCCTCACTCAGGGCAGGTATTCTTAAATCTGTGAGGCATGAGGATCACCCAAGTGTTTATGAACATGAACCACCGCCAACAGCTTGAGAGGCATCTGTATGATAGGTGTAGTAGGGGCTAGGCTGCCTAGAAACTGCATACTGAGAAGCAGCACGTTCCATGAGGTTTCTAGAAAGGAAGCCTCCCTTTTCACCCCACCTTGTAAGACATCACTGAGTCAATGGCCTCTGCTTTCTCCTAAAGAACCAAGGTGGGCCTGGTGCAATGGCTCAGTGGCTAAATTCTCATCTTGCAACCTCCAGGATCCCATATGGGTGCCAGTTTGTGTCTCCTATCCACTCTACCTCCTATCTCTGCTTATGGCCTGGGAAAGCAGCCTTGGGATCTTGCACCTGTAATGGGAACCCTGGAAGAGGCTCCTGGCTCCTGGCTTAGAATAGGCTCAGCTCCAGCCATTGAGGCCAAGTGGTGGGCAGGGGGAGGAGGAGGCGAATCACAGGATGGAAGATCTTTATCTCTCCTTCTTTCTGTAAATCTGTCTTTCCAATAAAAATAAATGAGATCTTAAAAAAAAAAAGAACCAAGGTGACTAGATGTGTTTCCTAAAAGCATCCCAAAGAAGCAGAACAAACTGTTCCTAAATCTTGGTGTTGGAGTTCTGTTCTCAGGCTCAGCAACAGATACGTGTGGCCAGGGGTCTGCAGTGCAGCCTTCTTGTCCCACGTAGCTCCACTATTGCTAAGAGAAGTGCAGTTCTGGTCAAAGTGACTTGAAAGCACTTGAGAACAGGAAGGAACAGATGACACCGGATCAGCATGCGGTGAACGCAGAAATGAGCTTGAGGATTTAATTCTGATTGGCTACTTAGGGGAATTTTAAGCACGGTAGTTGGCCTAACAAGTTCCTTTACTGGGCTCACCCCCTCTTGTTCTTTTCCATAGGGGTCAGAGGATAAGCACCCCCAAGTCCCTTTATAGCAGGGACCTGTGCGGGAATTCTAATGTGTCACCTCACTAATGTACAACCACATGAGTAAATAGTTAAGCCGGTCCTTCCACTACTAGGCACAGGCCCCAGGACCACAACAGAACACACTTTCTTCTCTCCTGCAATTCACAGACCTCAGCTTCTGCAAGCAAACAAAACATGTCCGTGGACTCCGATCTGTTTCCATTTCCCATGAAGGCAGTAAAGTCTCTTGTCTGTTTTCTACTTAACTTTGGCGCGTGCTTTTTACTTTCGAATTTCAACACTGAGTCTATCAGTTTCTACTGAAGCGGCCCAGGCTCTTGGCAACTCCCCGGTGCAGTTAAGTCAATCCTTCTGCGGGCTCTGTGGGCTGGCTTTTATACATTTTCTCCCAACAAGCTAGAAAGATGGGGGCCACGAGCCAGAGGCGAGGTGGACAGCTGCTGGGTTGAGCTGTGTGGCTGGCAGGTCTGTTTAGGCACACAACGTATACAACTGGGTACAGATCTACACGTCACAGGAGACCCCACAGGTGTGGCGTGCCTGTCCGCTGTGGGCTGGCAGCTTCCCAGGGACAAGAGCTGCCCAGGACCCACCATCTCTGCTAAAACACAACATCAGAACATCTCTCGATGGTGCATATTCTACAATGATGTTTCCAAAGCAGCCCAGCAACGGAATAAAATGAACAAACAAACAAACAAACAAACTGGTTCTCTTTCAGGTCTTGTTTGTGTGACTACTGACGGTTGGGACATTAGTAAATGGGAACAAAATAAGAAAGAAAATAAAAATGTAATGACTTTATTAATTTCAGAAATCAGTAATTCCCAAGGATGCCTTTCCCCGGCTCACGTTGTCGGCCGCAGGCCCACTGTCTCCACACCCTGGGACACTCGGGCTGTGTGCTCCTCCTGCCCCCGGGCCCTCTGGGAAGGGAGGAGCAGCTTTGGTAGATAATAATGGGGGAGATCTGAAGCTTGTGCAAGAAAATGAAGCCTAATGCTGCAATCTGTAAAGGAAGAGGAAGCAAAATGCAAGTAAGACAAAGAACCTCTTGCATATCCTTTCTGGGCCCAACAGGAGAGGGACAGGGAAGACGGAAGTGGGCAGGGAGGCAGGCAGGGTCTGGGGAAGGGAGAGGTGAATGTGTGCGCTGATGGCCCATGGAATGCACCTGGTTCCACAGCCCCACTGCCTGGTGCCACCTAGAGGATCTTCCTTCCTGGGCTCCCAGGACTGGCTCAGCTGACTGGCACTTATGCCCAAGGCTCTGGGGACTCGGAGGCAGCCCAAAACCACTATGCACCCCTCGCGGCACTGGAGGAGGGCACCTGGCCCTCAGTCACGCACCCAGGAGGAGAGCACGGGTCCTTCCTCCACGTTTCTGTGGCTCATCATTAGTTAGTGTGAGCAGGATCTGAAAGACAGAAAGCCAAGCACCAGGTGACTGCAGGGAGCAGTGGGGTTTTGCACACTGACAGCCAGCTTGGCCTGGCTTGCCGTCCCTTCACTTGACCCAGATCAAGGAAGTTTCACCTCCTTGGGCAAAACCCCTCATTTAATTTTTTTTTAAAGTTCTATTTTATTTTTATTAAAAAGTCAGATACGTAGAGAGGAGGAGAGACACAGAAGATGATCTTCTGTCTGTTGATTCACTCCCTAGCGGCCATAATGGCCGGAGCTGTATTGATCTGAAACCAGGAGCCTGGATCCTCTTCCAGGTCTCCCATTTAGGTGCAGGGTGCCAAGGCTTTGGACTGTCCTCAACTGCTTTCCCAGGCCACAAGCAGGGAACTGGATGGGAGGCAGGGTTGTTGGGATTAGAACCGGCACTCATATGGGATCATGGGATCCCAGCACTTGCAAGGTGAGAACGTTAGAGCTAGGCTACTGCTCCGGGCCCAAAAGCCTTCATTTTAACCCTGTGGTTGGAAAGATTCTTCCAACAGGAATCCGGTGTCGCTACCTCTTAGGGTGTAGTTCTCTTTAGCTTCCTTTTTTTTTCTTTCTCTTGGATCATGACCTTTTATTCCCCTTTGTTCCTCAAAAGGAAGATCTTTTCCGGGAACATGGGGTCAGAGCTGTCAGTATCTATGAACTGTGCAGAAACCCTGTGCCTTCTGTACGTTTGAGTGTTCCAACTCTTCCCTCAACGCCATGCTGTCAGACACCACTTCTGCCCTCCTCTGTACACCTTCAATGTACCTGCTGTGCCCCTCCCTGTTTAAGAATCCTACCCCCCAGCCCCTATAAGACCCTCCCAATTCTGACCCATTTGTGCTCTCCTGAATTTCCCA